GCAGACGTTCAGATACACCAGATACGAATGCACACGTGCGTACATATATACATGTATCCGCTATTATCACAGTACATTTTTGAATTATGTCAACAGACGTCGCTGAAACCATTTTTTACGGTTGCGTGGTAAAATTTAAAAATCTGGATGTATGTCTTCAGCTGCTGAGTGGTATGGAAGCTCCAAGGAGTCCTTGCTGCTGAATGTTGGACTGTTGCTTGGCCTTGGCGCAAAATTCATACCAAATTTATGATGCTTTCAGGAGGATGGAATGACATAGCAATGTCGTCAGGAATGCATCATCGACGGTGGGCCAGCGCTGGCGCTGCTAGCATTTCAAGCACCGGACAGCATAATCTATCTCACATCGAACCGCACACCTACGGCACAAGGTAAGTCCATATACATAGCAGGCGAGACGGAAGGCGAGGTAAGGAAGCTACCAGTTTCTTTGAAACTTCAAATTGTTAGTCACCAGTGAATCATGTTCGCGACGTCTGTCAACGGTGTAGCTGAAAAACATGCTTCTTTTATATGCTTTTGCATATTTGTGCAGATGCAACAACACGTATTGGCAAGAGGGTGTTTATAAGCGTGTGTGTGTGTGTGTGTGTGTGTGTGTGTGTGCTTGTGTCTATATGTCACAATTTTCGAAACTGTTGGTATATCGAAAATTTTGGAGCATGTTCCCATTCCACTTGTGTCCCTTCCGTTTCAATATTATCATTCACGCATGCTTGGAACTCACTAGGCACCCATACAAGAAAACACAAATTTTTTGGAAGCAAAGCGTTTTCGGGACAGAAAAGATAAAAAGCTGAAATTTCACGAAGTTCCATGTCTTAGTGTGAGCTATTTCAGATTCAGTTTTAACAAACACCTAGGTCACGTGCATGAACATGCCAAATTTGAGTCTTTGCAATTTCTGTTAAAACACTACTTCGACGACTAAACCGAACAGAGCGCTATTGCTTTAAGACATTTGCTTTCCATTTGTGGACATGCAGGAGCAAAATGAGCTTTGACATTCGTCTCTATCGCGCTTTCGAACACGACAAAAAAGAAAAGCTATATCGCCAACTTGTTAAGTAAGGGAACAGGATCTTTACGAGGATACTTGTGCCAATGTGCCATCCAAATATTTCAAGTCCAACTTTAAAGCAAGCCTGCATCAAACAAAAATTTAGTTCGGGACACTGTTCGCATCCGTTTGACTTAGTAGGTAGGCAGAGCAAGAAGTAGTTTTTTTGAGTTGGTCTTTGCTGTTCATGTGCTGTTCATTAAGCGTAAGACGAGCTTTTGTCTAAGCATGAAATCTACGCATAAGCGCATCAAATCTTCAAATTGCAACAGTGCGTCAGAGGCGGCTTCACAATGGGATGGAATTTTGCAAAAACGCATGATCGCACCGGACAGCCTTGTGCGTCGCTACTCAGCTGTTTTAACCAAATGTTGCATCCCTGGTAATCAGAATTCTGGCGGTTCCAGTATTCTTTTCGTTCTCTGAAGGAATTACCAGCTCACTGGCTGCACCAGCAAAAGGCTTTGCCACTAGAAGATTCAACGGTGAGCCGCCGTTTCGTTTTCAAGCGCTGTCACTCCCAAAAACATCTTGTGGTTTGCTGCGTCCTAGGAAAAACATTATTTTTCTTTTGCTAATTTTGGAATATCCTGGAACAAAATAAAGCATTTTCACTTTCAGTTGGAATTCGGTGCGCTGGAACAAACCACTGGAAAGTAGCAGCAATGGCGCAGGCGGTGGTGGTATTAGGAATGAACATCCGAGTCGTTTCTTGTCTATCGTGCAGCCAACTTCCAACGATTATGGCTTCAATCCGTCATATTCCAGATCAACCGCCAGACGCTTTGGCTCTCAGCCCGCCACTAGAAACAACATCGAAATGAAGTAAACACTTGAATGGCGTGGTTCACTATGGCCAACATTCTATCGCGACCCTAATAGCAGTTTTATTGGACTAGTGTGTGTCCCGTCTGTATGGTGTCTGTGTATGTGTGTGTCACACATGTCGCGCCCTATATACATGTTTATTATACATAATAAAGTGAAGGATAAGATATAAAAAGTAGATGAGGCTCCGGGAAGCTCCCCAGAATAGGGGTAGTAGTATATAGAATAAGTAGGTTAGAATAAGTAGGTCGAAAATGGCGATCCCGGCGATGGGGAGGAGTGCTTTTATACCCCAGGGGACAAAGATCGGAAGTTCAGTGA